CTCATTTGCTGTATATTTTTTGTGCATCTTGTTGTGGTTACCTTGGTGTCCTGAATCCATTCAAAATGTTGACAGCAATTTCTGTCAAATAAGATGAAACTGTGTTCACCTTATTTAACACATCTAGCACTGTGTGACTTTTGGTTCTTCCATGGAAAAGAAACATTTTGAATCAATTTAGGTCATGGAGGCAGTCATGAGAGCAGAACTAAGGACACTGATGAAAGAAGACTTCCAGAGCTGCTTCACAGAGTGCCAAGAACAATGTCAAAGTGTGTTTAAAACACTGGGGAGTACATTTTGGGGTGTTAATGACAATGTGTCTTTTACTGTAATGGATTAAAACTTTTTTTTTTTTTTTTTTGGGTATACTGGGGACTGAACCTAGGGCCTTCACATTGAGCTATATTCCCAGCCCTTTATTTATTTATTTATTTATTTATTTATTTATTTATTTATTTATTTATTTGAGACAAGGTCTCACTATGCAGTTCAGGCTGGCCTTGAGCTCACTTTGTAGCCCAGGCTGGTGCCAAACTTACAATGATCCTCCTGCTTCAGCCTCCTGAGTGCTGAGAATACAGGCTTGCACCACCATGCCCAGCTCTCAACCCGTTAAAATTTTTTATTTCATTTATTTTTGTAGACAGGGTCTTGCTTTGCAGTTAAGGCTGGTTTTAAATTCATGGTGATCCTCCTGTCTCACCCTCTAAAGTGCTGGGATTACAGACATGCACCACCACACTCAACCTATTTATGTGTACTTTTTGACACAAAAGTCCTCCTATGAGTTCAGACTGGCTTTGAACTCATTGTGTAGCCCAGGCTGGACTCATTCTCTGAGATCTTCCTGCCCCTGCTTCCCAGAGTGCTGGGATTATAGGAGTGTGTCATCACGCCTGCCTTAGTCACTGTATATTCTGGTTACCCCTTGTGGGTTTAAATATGTACACATGGGACTTGTGACCACATTTACGATGCAACTCAGCAAAAGAGGCACTTCCAGGTGTCATGTGGTAATTTACATGCTTACTATACAATATTTAGAGATATTTGCCTAATAGAATTGCAAAGCTTACCACAGGCTTACTATAAAATTGAAACATGTTTATCTAAGATAAACATTTAGCAAATATTCAGCAAATATTTGGCAAGGCCCTTCCCTGAGCAAGGCACTGATAGTTGGTTGCAGCCTTGGATTTTGAAATCACATTTGCTTCCTTCTCTTGGTCACAGGCCCAGCCACGTGAACTGCCAGGTCCTGCTGTGCCAAGCGGCACTCGTGATGTGTTGTCAGCTCTTGGCTAGAGCTTTCAGGGAAGGGCAGCAGCCTGTTTCAGCCTCCTCTGGCACATCTGAGGAGAGTCATGGTGACTGGCAAGAGCTTGGAGACAGGGGCACTTTCCCCAGCCAAGGGCCAGCCCACCCACCTGACCTCTCCCTTTTTTCTCCCCAGAGAAAACCTTTTCACTCACTCAAAATTATATATATATTGATGTGTGATTTTTCTTTTTCTTTTTGGAAACGGCAGTACTAAAAACTTTAACATTTTTTTGGAGGGGTGGCTTGTACTGGGGATTGAACTCGGCCTTCACACTGAGCTACATCCCCAGTCCCTTTTAAATTATTATTTTGTTTAAATTATTATTCATTAAAATCTTGAGTTAGCGTCTGGCTAAGTCACTAATTTTCCAGGCTGGGTTTGGATTTGTGATCCTCCTGCCTCGGCCTCCAGAGTGCCAGGATTACAAGTGTGTACCACTACCCCATCTACATAAAAAGTTTTTTTTTATGTTCATGTGATACGTAAATGGACAAAGAGCAGAGAATGTTGGTTGTCTAAAAAACTGAACACAGAAGGAGGTATGTTCTAACTGAACTATTTTCTGTCTTGATAGGAATGTCTGTCTATTCTCTCTCTCTCTCTCTCTCTCTCTGTCTCTCTCTCTCTCTCTGTCTGTCTCTCTCTCTCTCTCTCTCTCTCTCTCTCTCTCTCTCTCTCTTTGTTCCAGGGATTGAATTTACGACCTCGTGCTTGGCAGACAGGCACTTATGCCACTGAGCTAAATCTCTGGCCCCACAAATGTATTTCTGTTAAAACCAGTTAGGAGCACTTGGCTTTTCTGGTGAACCTGGTACAGGGGCATCATGGCATGCTCTTGGGTGAGGACAGCTGTGTGGTGCTTGAAGGTCAGAGACTTTGGAAAGGCTAGGGAAGCTCCATACCTTGGTTTCCTCTGCACAGCATGTGCCATACTGGGCAGAGTCATGCTGCCCTGTAATAACCTTGGGATACTCTGGCTGGCTCAAGCTCTCTTTCTGGGGAACTGCTAGACTACCTTCTGCTCTCAGACCCCCAAATGTCCTCCTTTCCACTCCGTCTCCGCTGCTGGCCTCCTTCCCTGTTTCAGAAAAGCTAGCAGCACTCAGAAGACACCCCCTCCCAAAGCTCTCCCACATCCGCGTGGCCACTCCTGTGGGTGCACATAGGGCCCATCCCTTCTCCCCTTTCTGGTGCTTCCCCGTCTGCCTTGGGCAAGCACAAGTGGGTCCTTTCACCTGCACACATACCAACTCACTAGGTCGCTATCTTTGCTCAGATGTCCCCTTCCAACAGGACCCACCCTGAACACCCCAGGGAAGAGTGCAAAGCACGCCTACACCTTGAGCCTGTGCACTCCCCATGTCCTAGCAGCCCTCGGCTTCACAAGGGAAGAGTGTTCCACTTTGTCCCCACACAGGCAGGTCGCTCCACAGATGCTGCACCAATGAGCTTCTCTGGTCATGTGATGCCACCAACTTTTTAAAAAAATAACTATTGGTAGGTTTTGGGCATTCATATTGATCACATTCATCATAGGGAATGTGTACCTGTATGTGAATAATTTAATTCTTTTTTTCCCATTCCCTCTCTCCCATCAACCCCTTTTCCCCCTTCTCATTTACAAAAGCTTTGTTTCCATTTTTCTGTTCTTTTCTCACTTTTTCTTTTCAGTTCCTTCCTTTCCCCCTCCCCTCTCCCAATTTGAACATTTTTTTTCTATGTTACAATATCTATTATACGTTTTGATCCTTATTTACACTGTCACCAATTTTATTTCGACACAGGGTCTCGCTACATAGTTCGGCTGGCCTTGAACTATGTAGCCCAGGCTGGGGTGCCTGCCTCAGCCTCCCACATGGTGGGATTACAGGCATGTGCTGCCACACTCATCTGAGATGTCACCAACTTTTTAGCACAAACACCTGCACATAGCCTTGTCCAGCTTTGTCAGGTGTCACCTTAACGACCTGGGCTGCCTGGTCTTTCTGGCAAGTGCCTGTGTCCACTGCTGGGTGCAAGCACCTGTATCTGCTGTCACCTGAGCAGGAGACCTGAACCTTCAGATCCTTATCTCTCCATTGGTCTTAATTGGCTGTTGACCTCTTTCACACCTTTCTTTTGCCCCTCTTCTTTGCCTGCTACTGTCAAAATCATCGTTCTAATATGCTACTCTGATGTGCATACACACTCCTATTTACACAAGCCATTAGTTCCCAATTGGCTCTTACAGGATCCTCCCCTGACCCAATATATGGATTCTCTTCTGAGCCCTGGAGACTTTTCAGGGTCCTGGCCATGTCAAATAACACAGAGTCACGGCATAGAATGGGCAGCTCCACACCAGCCTCTGGGACGGCACTTCACACTGCCTGCAGGGCTCTTGCCTTGGCCTCTGGGATCAGCTCACCACTGACCTCCAAGTGAGGCTTCAGCCTTGGCGCTGCCCGGACGTCCAGGCTCGTGGCCTCTTTGTGTGGCATCTCTCAACTCTCTCACAGCACATACATCACTCCTCTGCAGCCGCAGCTTCCTGTCAGGCCGGACCTCACCTTTGTCCCCCAGGTTTTGCATGTGGAATCAGGCGATGGCGATGCTGGATGAAAGGGGGGACAGGGCTGCCTTGTGGGTATGAGCTGTATTTCTCAAAGCAGTATTGTATTGGTAAATACCAAAGCCCCATGCAGACATCCACAAATTTGGATCTTTAACTAGCACTGGGTGGGGGGCAACAAATCAATTATGGGAACATAGAGAACCAGAGGCTGTGGCTTTTGTGCGTTTGTATTGGCAGGCATGTGACCAGGGTAAAGTTACCCGAGAATGAAATCTAACAAACTTCTGCAGTGCAGGAAAGGAGAGGCTATCACCTGTTCTCCTGTGGTCAGCAAGACGGGAGGAGCATGCGGGCCCCTGGGTGATGGTTTCAGGAAGCCAGACCTGTGCACGCCTTTCCTGTTATGAGGGAGGCACGGGGGCTGCACCCAGGTTTCTGCGGACAACCTATTGCACACCCTTGGGTTGTAGCCTCAGGAGTGACAGCCAGGACCTCTGCGCCACCAGAAGCCCTTGGCCCCTCTACAAAATTTTAAAAAAATTTTTTTAAATTCGGGGGCAGGGTCTCGCTAAATCACCAAGTTGCCAAGCTGGCTCGAATCTGCAATTCTTCTGCCTCTGCCTTGAGTGCTGGGATTACAGACGAGAGCCAGCACACAGGCGTTTACAACCCTGTACACGACTCGTTTAGTCCTGGAAAAAAAAAGGAGGAATGCACGCAGCTGGGCACGCCATTGGCCTCGGCGGTGAGAGCCACGCCTAACGTTCCCAAGAGCTCGCCCAGTGTACCTCGGTTGGCGGCGGGGACGCGCGGCGGGGAGTGGGGGCTGTATTGCTGCCCAGTACCTCTGTGGGCCATAAATGTCACAGCGCCCTCAGGAAGTCCAGAGCATACAGCCTGGCTCCGGGAGGAGGAGGAGGCCCGGCCCCTTTAAGACGCCGGGAGCCCCGCCCCGCGCCGACACGTGACTCGGGTCTTGTGACCGCGGGGGCGGAGCCCGCCCCGCCTCACAGGGCCGAGCCGCCCGGGGCTACTGCCGTCCCCGCCGCCGCTGCCGCCGCGTCCCCGCGGGCCAGCGAGCCGGGCCAGGCTGGAGCGGGTGGTCGGGCGGGCCGGGCCGCCATGGACCACAAACCGCTGCTGCAGGAGCGGCCGCCCGCCTACAACCTGGAGGCTGGCCAGGGCGACTACGCGTGCGGCGCGCCCGGCTACGGCGCCATCCCGAGCGCGCCCCCGCCGCCGCCCTACCCCTACCTCGTCACAGGTGGGCCCGGGTCCGCGCTCGCGCACTCGGGGCTCCAGCCGGGGCGCGCCGGAACCTCGCGGAGCCCCCGCGGCTCCCCGTGCGGCCGTCAGTTCGCTGCGGGGCGGGGCGGGTCTCTGCTCCCACTCCGCGCTCATGTGCTCCCCTCCCCCACAGGGATTCCCACCCCGCACCCCAGGGTGTACAGCATCCACAGTCGGACGGTCACTCGGTACCCTGCCAACTCCATTGTCGTCGTCGGAGGCTGCCCGGTGTGCAGGTGAGTCCCAGCCCGGGGCGGCCCAGCGTGCTCGCGAGGAGACCTCGGGGTGAGGGGGGGTCCGGGGTTGGGTCCTTGGTGCCAGGGGCACCTTGGCTGCAGGCTGCACTGTGGGAGGCGGCACGTGTGCTTTCTCGGGGCAATAAATGTAACTTGTAGAGCAGAGGAGGTGGGCTCGTTTTCCTGGGGAGCTGAGTACATTTGGGGGCTTTGCACCTCGAGTGAGCGGGAAGCAGAAATGTTAACAATGGGGACCGATGAGTCTTCCTTGCTTCTTGCTTCTGGGACCCGATGGCAATAGTTTTCTGTTTTTCTTTTTAAAACTATTTTATTTTTTATAATTTCTGTAAGTTTACTGTGTGGTTGATTCTTTAAGAAGGCGGAAGGTTTGTTTTGCCCGGGGCCAGACCAGAGTCCAGTGGCCCTTGTGTTTATTAAGGAACTGGGGGGGAGGGGTCCAGGTGGCCAGAGAAGGTACAGCTGTGAGGGTAGCTGAATCCCAGCAGGGATTAGTTACTTCTGGCTGCTAGCTGGCCCCGGAGGAAACCCCGTGGTTCTTTGTTTCGGGCTGGAGTGGTTTTTTTTCATATCCTCAAACTGGAGCCGAAAGAAACTTTATGAGGATTTTTTTTTTTTTTGGAGCCTGAGGTGCAGCACCATACTCCTCTCTTGTGGGTCTTGGAGATTCAAGTTCAGATGAGACTTGGTCCTTGCCCGTGGTAGTTGGGGGCCCTCAGATGATTGGGTAGCAGACAGTTAGCAGAGCAGGGTTTCAGCCCTCCTTAGGGAGCAGGAAGTTGAAGTTGCTGAGATGGAGTTAAGAAGCTGCCCTGGTTTGGACTTAGACTCATTTCAGAAGTTTATGTGTCAGGCCCTAGAGAAGTTAATGATTTCAGAGCCCTGGAGGCAGCTGTATAGGAGGATGGCACCAGGAGAGGACAAGACCCATAATCTCGAGTTGACCACGTGCCTAGTAAGGGGAGGTGTAACCTAGCTAGTGCAGCCACAGGTGGACCCCAGTGCAAACCCCAGCCAGGGCATGGTCATTGCCTGGTGGGCACACTGGCCTCTGGAGACCGGGAAGAGTGGAAGGGAGGGCAGGAAACTGGCTGCTTCCTAGGAATGTCTCTGCAGGGCTGTACCTGGAGTGCACTTGGTAAAGAGGGGCACAGCCTGAAGGCAGTCCTGTGAGGTGCCCAGTGCTGAAAGCCATTGGGAAGGCTTGGGAAAGTACTGCAGAGGCAGGGGCTGGACAGCCTCTATGTTGAGTTTTCAGGATAATCTTGCCTCTTGGGCATGCACAGCTCTGCTGTGCCTGAGGTCATGTCACCACTCAGCCCAGCTGGAAGATTCTGATGGTATATTTTTGGGGAGAGGTCATTTTGAGCCCCCAACTTTAGGAGAGATGTGGGGTTGGTCTACTTAAAGGGAGGAGCAAAAAGATGCCTAGCCATGATGGGGCCTGTAATCCCACACTCTGGGAGGCTGAGGCAACAGGATCACAGGTTTGAGCCCAGCCTGGGCAATTTAGTAATTTAGAGCCGGTCTTAAAAGTAAAAAAGGTTGGGGTATAGTTCAGTGTGAGAGCCTTGGTTTTAATTCCTAGTATTGTTTAAAAAAAAAAAAAAAAAAGCCTGGAGCAGAGTGTTCTGGCTGGGATTTCATGGGCCTTCTGAGTGAGAGGAGCTGGGATCAGATCCTAGCCCCTGCCAGGTGCAGCTGGCATCTGTTTTCCTGTCTGGGAGATGGTATTTGATGAGATGGTCTGAGGCTCTTTTCTGCTCCTGAACTTGGAGGAGGGGAGGCAAGCAGCAGGGCAATGGGCTAGTGGAGGCTGGGCTGCTGTCACCATGGGGAGCCCTTTCCCAGATACTTCCTTTTCCACAAGAGGTGAGTTGTGTCTTTCAGAGGCCTGTGGCATCCACTTAGGGGGCTCCCCAGTTATACATAGAGAACAGAGTCATCCTGGGGAAGGTCTTGGGCTCCTGTGGGGTACTGCCTTCATCTGGAAGCTGGCTGCTTCCTTTGTACTCCCGGGCAGCGGTGGCTAGTGTGGAGGACACTAGTTCCTTGGAGAACAAGTTTGGGGGTGCCTAGTCCTTGAGGGGAGTGTACCAGAAGACAGGTGTAATCCCAGCACTCTGGAAAGCTGAGGCTAGTTTGAACCTAGTCTGGGTGACTTAGCTCAATAAGAAAAGGCTGGAGATGTGTATAACAATACAGGCCCTGGGTTCAATCCTCAGTACTGCCCCCCCCCCACCACCACCACCAAAAAAAACTAGGACAGAGCTCTTGGGGCACTGCTGTGTATAGAACCTTGAAATTAAAAGGCACCCCCCCAACTGTTTACTTATTTTCTTTTTCCTTTTTAAATTTGAAGACGGTCTCACTAAGTTGCCAGAGCTGGGCTTAGACTTAGAAATCCCCTGCCTCAGCCTCTGACCATACCCTACCCTTCCCAGAGAGAGCACTCTTTGATCCTCCAGGCCCCTGAGGGCCTGCCTCCACAGAATCCCTATCTTCTGCCCACAGTACCTTCCACTGCTGACCCTCAGCTCCCTGAGGACATGCTCTGCTACCCTTGTGGCAGCAGCATTAAATGAGTAGACAGCCATTACTGCCCTCAGGCTGGAGAAAGGGTGTGTGGCCCTTGGGCTAGTCCTCTGTGATGATAGTATGGAGATGTTCCCCCTAAAAAAAAAACGAGGGAAGCCTGTTTCTGTCTTGTTTTAGGGCTGGGCAACAGGATACTTCTCACATGACCATACTTCCTCCCTTTCCAGATCCAGCCTGCCAGGCTCTGTCCCTTCCCTCCTCAGTGGCTTAGTATGAATTTGCCCAAATCACACTTCTGCAATTCCCTCTGAGTGAGCTTGGCATAAGAGCCCCATGTCGCTTGTCACTTTGCCATCTCGTCTGAGCCTGTTTAGCGCCTGACTCCACCTTCCTTTTTTAGCTGTTGATAAGCAATTCTTACACCCCCGTCAGATGAGTGAGTCTTGTGCTTAGCTCTTGCCTGTCCTCCTCATGGCAGCCTGCCCTGCTGTTGGAGGCCCCTTTGGGGCGCTGGGTCCACACACATACTGGGCTTCTGCAACTGGGTCTTTCTGTCCCCTCTGCAACTCTGGCTTGGTGGGGCTGTTCTGCCCTAAAGGATGGGAGAGGCAAGCCAAGGCCCTGGGAATACAGGTCACAAGTGGAAGGTGCCTCCTGTGTGTGCAGGACCCCCACAAGTCCTGACTGGGTTGTAGACATTGCATGTTTAGCTGTGGGTGTGGCCACAGGCAGGAGGAAATCTGGGGAGAGTGGAGTCTTGGAAACGTAAAGAAAGTGCAGCTTTCCTAATCGGTGCTGCCCAGAGGCCCTGGAGTGTGGGTGGTCCTGGCACTGGGTGGTCTGCGTAGACGCTTTTGAGGCACAAAGTGACGAAAAAGGCATCCGGAGGGGTTTGGGAGCAGAGACCAAAACAGGGCCTGGGCTTCTGCCAATGTGAGGAGCCAGTCCCTGGGGGTCAAGCTGGAGAGTAGAATTGGGCTGATGAGAACTGCCTCCAAGTGACAGGTGGTTTCTCCAAAGGTCTTAGTGAACTGTCTGTTAAGGCAGCTCACTGTGTCCAGTGGGGTCCCTTTTTGGAGTAGAGATGTTGGGCAGGCTGGGGCTGGTTGGGGGCCATCCAGTCCTATCCCAGCCATGGCTGCAGGGCTGCTGCCAACAGAGGAAGTCCTGTGCTTGCTTGCTTCTTCCTGAGAGAGGGTGCTGTCCTTTAGTGCTATGGACTCTGGGTGAGGCCTCCCATCTTGGGAGGTGGCTGCTGGTGGCCTGGGGTGGGGTCTTTTTCTACAGGATGGCAGGATCCAGACCTAGCCACATCACTCACAGCCTCAGCTTCCTGTGAGGACAAGGTACCAACAGAGTGGGGGTGCTGGGGGGACACAGGAGGGTCAAGGGCTACTTTTTCTGGTTGGCTGTTGGTCCAGGACACTGTCAGGGCTGTCTGTTCCCAGCAGTTCAGAGCTTCCTGCTTCTCCCTCCCTCTCTGCCTCTTTTGCCCACGTGGTCTAGTGAGGTGTGGGGACCTCCCTGCACCTGGCTTTGCACACATCAGAGGACCCAGTGGACCAGTGGTCACTGGCTCTGGGAGGCTTTAGTCAAGGGTTAAAGATGAGTTTTCAGTGTTAGTTCCCTAATCTCTCCAACTTCCATATCCTCCTGGCCCTCCCCCATGAGACCTAGCTTCCATGGAGCCATGCCTGTCAGGTTTTGATATAGGTTCTGAGCCAGTGCACAGAGTTGAGACAAGTCCTGGCTGAGTTGGACCTCTTGGATTTGGAGATAAAGGTGGTATTGGGGACACGCTGGTCTCCTGCTTGCTCTCCCAGTAGGACCCTGTGGAGATCTGTGAAACCACTTTGGCCAAGAGTCTGGATTACATTTCTTAGATCAGGTGTCAGGTTTTAAAAATCCAGATTATGCCACCTCCTTTTGAGGAGTGGGGTGGTACTGTAGTTAATACTTCCCACCATGCAGGATAAATTAGGGCTATAAATAGCTACATCAGTGTGCTTGTCCCATTTCTGCCAGGTGAGTTTGCTGCAAAGTTAGGGAGCCAGGCCAGCCAGTTGGGCCAATCTCTGTTACTCTTCAGGTTCCCAGGATGGGTCTGATGACTATGATGCCACCTCAGAAGGTGGCCTGGTCCTGTCAAGAACCACAGTGCCAACTAGTGCTGGTGCCCTGGCAGCTGGTGAGGAGAGTTCAGAGGAGTGCAGATGAGGGTTGGGGTCTGGATGGAGAATTAAGAGGCAGGATGCTTGACCCCAGGGGACAGCAGAACATATAGCTGGGATGGTGCCTGTGAATGAGACAGGCAACACAGGAAGTCTCCCCAGCCCCATTGCACCCTGATGGGGCCTCCGCATCTGTTTGGGGCAGTGAGGCGCCAGTGGTCCAGTAGGGCCTCAGAGCACAAGCTGGGCTCCACCCACTGGGCTCCACTCTGCTGCAGGTTCTCAGGACCAACCTGGCAGAGGCTCAGCCTGTCACTGTTCTTTTGCCTCTGTGGTCCTTGGAAGTTCTGGTTTCCTCACACACTGGAGATGGTGGGGTAGGTACAGTACTTCGGGACCTCTTTAGAGGCCAGGCCTCTCCCACAGTACTAGGGATTGAACACCTTTGAAACATTTTTGAGACAGGGTCTTGATAAATTGCTGGGTTTAAACTTGGGACCCTCTTGCCTCAGCCTTCCAGAGTGCTGGGATTGCAGTGTGTACCATCCGGGGCCAGGGATTTAGCTCAGTGGCATAAGTGCCTGCCTTGCAAGTGCATGGTCGTGAGTTTGACCCCCAGTACCAATAAAAATAAAAAATTTAAAAAAAAAAAGATTTAACAAGTGCACCATCATGCCCAGCTCCTGAGACTGTTTCTACCTGCAACATGGCAGACCTGTTTCTTGGGACTTGACCTGAAGGTAGACAGTAATGCAGGTGCTGGAAGAAACAGAAAGAGGCCTGAGATTTAAGGAGCTGCAGAAAGTAGAGGGTGCCAGGGTGGTCTCAAGTGTGTTCCAGCTGGCTCTGCAGCCAGCCTGACGCTTGGTCAGAAGGCCCTGAGCCCAGACAGGGTGTGCTGGCTGAAGTGTCCTGCCTGGCCTGAGCTTGCAGGTGGCAGGGCTGGAAAAATGAAAGGATCTGGTGATTTTGTGGTTCTTAGAAGAGGGTACTTTGGTTAAAGTCACAAAATAAGTGTTAACTTGGACAGCACAAACTCAGTGCTTCTGACAAGCACTGCCTTAGCACAGAGATGCCTGTGTCCCACCCAGAGGAGTTGGGGTACAGCAGAAGCTTTCTGAAAGTTTTTACCTGGGGTGCAGAGCCTGTGGGTAAATAAGACACTGGCACTGCCAGAAGAGAAAGTAACCTGAAACCTTCCTTCTGCAGAACTTTTGGGGTGAGGTGATAAAATGCTGCTGGACCTTTCTGTCTGCTGTGGGTTTGTTTGGGAAAAAGGGACGATGAAAGACTATGCGCTGAGGTGGGCAGTGCTGTTGGGGAAGGAAGATGCCTGGGATGGGTGTGGAGCTTCTGGGTGTTCTCTCCTTAACAAAGGAGAACTCGCTGGGTTTCCCTATGCCCAGAACCCCTGCTTGTCCCCCATGTCTCGGATGTCACCCTTTACCCCCATGTTGTCATCTCTGTCCTCATTTCCTGCTGCCTTCACACTCTCCACAGAGGCATTTCCCCTGTGAGGGAAGAACCTGAGCACGAGGCCTGGTCCCCTGAAGTACTGAGGCCTGGGGATAGCCCATTAGAGTCTTCCTCACAGAAGGGACACTTTGCTCATTTGTGCTTATGTGGCTCTCATAATTTCCCCTCTGGGTCCAGAACTCTCCGGAAGTGGCCTGAGGAGCTATTTACGTGTGTGACCTTTATGGGGCTCCTGCTTCCAATATCTTTGGAGCCTCTGAAAAGACCCTTGACTGAGTGATGACCTCAGGTCACTGACACTGTTCAGTGGGACATGTGTTACACACATAGAAGGGAGACTTTATGATATGATGCAGCATCCTTGAGCTTAAGTCTCAAGAAGCCTTCTAGACACTGTATGAATATGACTGATTTAAGACTTTCACCTACCCTACAAAAAGAAAAAAGTATACCCTGGGACCCTGAAGCAGGAGGCACACAGAGTTGAGCCCAGGCAACTTAAGACCTTGAACTGGGGATGTAACTCAGTGCAAAGGCCCTTAGTTCAGTCCCCAGTACTGAAACAAAATCCCAGATCTTAATCACTTGGACGGCGTTTTCCTTGGGCATGCAAAAAAAAATCTAAAACTTCAATAGGGGAAAATAATACTTTAAATGAGTTGGTTTGGGGGCTCTTTGTTTTCAGTTTGTGGGAGCTTTCGTAGAAACTATCATTTAGGGGCTGGGGATTTAGCTCAGTGGCATAAGTGCCTGCCTTGCAAGCAGGCAGTCATGAGTTCGATCCTTGGTACCGATAAAAAGGAAAAAGACTTTAAAAAAAAAAAGAAACTATCATTTGCCTCCTGTCACTTTCTCCTCTTGTCCGAGAAAGCATGGACTCTTGACCACTGCAATGGTTTGGGTGAGGCCTGCACCTCCCAGGCTGGCCCTCTGTAGGTCACCAGCTGTGCTGGGTAAACTGCAGCGGTGGGTGTGTGTGTGGGGCTGACCCTCATGCCTCCTGTCTCCACAGGGTCGGCGTTCTGGAGGACTGCTTCACCTTCCTGGGCATCTTCCTGGCCATCATCTTGTTTCCCTTTGGGTTTATCTGCTGCTTTGCCTTGAGGAAGCGGAGATGTCCCAACTGTGGCGCGACTTTCACCTAAGAGAACACACCTGGCTTCCGGAGGGCCAGCTATCTTTTCTAATGTAAATGTTGTGTACAGTAGTTTTATTTGACTAAGCTTCAGGACTGTTTTGTAAAGTGAGGTGGGATAGCATTGGCATGTGCCAGCTTAGGTCTCACAGAGGGTGGGAGGCAACACTGCTCTCCAGGTTAATAACAGCTAAACAAACAAACAAACAAAAAAAACATTGCTTTTATTTTTTTTGCAGTCTTCAATTTGAGAAAGGTGAGAAATACTGTTTTAAATAAATGAGATTCATACCACTGTTCAGCTGCTTTTGCTTGTTCAGTGTTTGCCCACTGCTACTGTATGGACCTTGTCGAAGCAAGTTTGACACATGCAGACTTAGTTAGGAGGCTGTGTGTGCCTCAGTTGGCTCTGACAGCTCAAGGACACAGGTTTCAAATTCTCTCCTTTATTACTGACATTAAACCATAACACTGACAACGGCGGAGCATGTGCCTCAGGTCCCCACAGAGCCCTGTAGTGGCTGCACACTGCAGCGATAGTCCTGGGGTCTTTTCCCGAACCCCTGTACCAAAGCCAGGTGACCTCCCCGACGTTTTCCAGTCTTCACACATTTTCTGAAACCTGGCACTCATTTGTTCTCCACTGCTGAGAACAGGGCTCCCATCAACTCTGCTGTTGTGTTTTGGAAACGGTGGGCTCACCTATGTAAATTTGGAACTTGACTGGGGCACCTTTCAGGATAGTGCCACAGGACAGGAAGGGGGTGATCTAATCTTGCATATTAACCCTGCATAGAGGTGCCAGGTTGTCCTCCCAGGAGAGCCTGCCAGTGCCTGAAGTCTTATGTCTGTTGGTTTACTACTATTACTGAAACACTGACCAACTTTGAAAAATATTCACAAGGGATGAGCTCAAAAAAGCCATGATAAGCAACAGCCCCTTTTCCCAGTGAGTGGCCTGGGTGTGAATTTTAGTTGTGATTTATTGTTCCTTGGTAGCTAAGGATAAACTCCAGGCCCTGGAGTTTCTGACCAGAATCCTACAGGTGATTTCAGACTGAGATAGAGGCTCTGCCCTTTAGGGCCACCAGAGTCATCCTGGCTTCATTAAGTGACTTTGGTTCAAACACACACAAACTTGGACCCCAGGAGGTTTCCCAGTAAGTAGCCACAGCTTTGGTCTCCCCTCAGGGAGAACACCTTTCCAGGGTGCCAGGCCTCCAGGAAGCCAGCTGGTAGCTCTTAACACGAGATACTAAGTATAGCTATGAGACAGGCAGGCAAAATGTCTCAGATCTCAGAACTTCAGCACTCCAGCCCTGTAACTTGGGTGGTCGGGACCTCTCCATCTTGGGATGCTCTATGTTTAATCAAGAGTTTAAAGTTTGTAATTAAAAATTCTATTTAATACATTTCCATAATTTATATTGCTTAAAATTATGATTTGCATGCTAAGATGCAAACTTACATAATATTTTCTTTAGACAGACATCATAATGCTACTTAAGAGCACATGCTTTATGAAACAGAACTGGTCTCATTTATGATCAGATGCAGAAATCCAGTCATGAAAGCAAACTATCTGTTATTCTGGCTGCAACTTTAAAAAAAAAATAGAATATTAAAAACAGATACACTGGGGATTGGAACCAAATTTACTGTTTTTAGATAGAGCAGGAAGAAAATATTTTTAAATGATTGAGCTGGTCTATCTTGACAGAAATGTGTACGCCCATCTATGTTAAATTGAGAAAATGCATTGATTTGCTCAAGTAGGATGCATTGAAAATCAGGCACCTTCTGGTGAAGCTTCCAACAGTCCCAGAGCTTGCCACACAATGGATACCTATCATTTTTCAGATGAGAACCGAACAGTAGAGGAACCAGGAGAATCTTTGGCATCTTCATCGAATGATTGGTGCTGATCGATCATTTGTCACCGTGGGTCGGAGTTTCACAGTAGCAAAGGGGTTTTCTCCACTACAGGAGAGAGAAAGAAGAAATTAACACTCCAAGACAGGGATTGGCTATTAATAACTACTGCTCAGGTTTTATGAAATCCTAGTGCTCACTATCTTCTGATTATATACAAACTGTGGGTGGCACTTTTAAGTGTAAGAGCTTCTGGCACTTCTCTCCATGCCAGCATCCTGGGAACTCCAAAGTTGTTTCTTTTTAAAATTTTGATTCTGGGGACAACCCTAGGTCTTTGCACTGAGTTACATCACAGCCCTTTTAAAAATGAGACAGGCGGGGCTGGGGATTTAGCTCAGCGGCATAAGTGCCTTCTTGCAAGTGTGTGGTCTTGAGTTCGATCCCTGGTACCGATAAAAATGAAAAAGACAAAAAAAAAAGAGAGAGAGACAGGGTCTTGGTTGCTAAATAGTGAACTTGAACTTGTGACACTCTTATTACAGACTGCGTCAGTGCCTGGATTACAGGTGCGTGCCACCTCACCTGGCCTAATCCTGAAGCTTCCAGTCACCAACACCTGACAGGCCAATTTGTTAGTCTTTTGCTAGGGAGAAGGCCATGTGGCAGAGCCTTCCTGGGACAGGGGCCAGATCCACACTGCCCTATGTCAGGCCCTACTCCCAGGAATAACTAAAGTGATGAAGAGAAAGGTGGCCATAGTCTTCCAAGAAGAAGGTCTGCTCAGGCTGGGCGTCCTAGGCTGGGCACCACCTGGCCCCATGGAGGATCCTGCTGGCGATTTACCATCGGGAGGGAGGCACCATGCTCAAGAGAGCTGCTTTCGAGGTCTGCGTACCTGAGGAAAGGTAGCTTGGCGGTCCCATTTGCGTCACTCTGGGGAAAGAAAAAGAAGTTTATGGAAGGCTCTTGACGAAATTTTAAATAAGGTGGGTAGAGCCACGGAAAGCCTAAGAACTGTTTTTGAGATTGCCTAGGTATCTTAAGTTGCTTGGAAGAGTAAGGGAGAGACAACAGTGTTCCAGACCACATGTGTCAGAGTGTCCTGCACAGATCAGCCGTGATACCTACAAGCCAACAAACCCATCTAAATCAGGAAACAGACCCTAGCAGATCATACGGAGCAAAGGAGCTTCATTCAGTACTGAAGAAGACACCTGCTAACAGAACAGCTCACACTTCAGGGAAACGTAGACTCTCAGAGCTGTAACCATACACGGCACTTTGCTTCTGTGGAGCCAAATCCTGAAATGATGGCATACAAAAGACAACAGTAAAAATAAAAACCTTGTTGGTTCAGGGGCTGATGCCAATTTCCAGAGACCGATCTTGTAAAAAAAGTTCCAAAAATAAAAGAACCAAATACACATGTCAGCTGAGCTCAGACACTGGCCCTTCACGAGCTCTGGCAGGCCTCTGCTCCTGGGTCTCCAGGGGAAGGAGGTCTTGCGGGTCTCACATGGGCACCAAGACACACAGCTCACTCAAGTGCACCTCGTTCCCCTCATTCTAAAAAGCTGGTGGTCTTTCAAAATCTTTCCTGCTGTTCCCCTTAGCAAGACGCTGCAGCTAACCTCTCCTGGCCACCCAGCAGAGGGCAGTGTCATCCCAGTAAGGTGTCCTTAGGTCCCTAGAAAGCTCCCAGTGGTTTTGGGAACAGGCAGACTAAACAGAGTGAAGGAAAGCTGGGGTGTCCGCCTTTGTGCTAGTGTGTGCGGAATGTTCAATGCAGACTTTCATGGCCACAGACAAGTGGGGGTGCCTGCTTGGGCTGTGCCCTCAGACCTGCCCCTCGGGGCTGGGTTGCAGGGTACCCAGTTCTTGTCTAGTTTTTCATCAGAGTGCAGAGCAACAAAGCAACTTCCCTGCTCAGGACATCCTGATTTGTTCCTACAGCATATACTGAGTTGTTTTGGCAGACCCAGAAGTTGGTTCTGGTGTAATTTCCATCTCATAATGAGATTAAGGGCTAATTACTTTGAAAATACACTAGGAGGTTCATCAACTGTTTGCTCAAAGTAGAGTGTGACCACGCTGCCTGGAGCACAAACAGCAGCAGCCTGGCACTGAAAGGAGCCTCAGTGGCCAAGATATCTACCCCAGCACACGTACACATCACTTCAAGCATGGCTCATCTAGCTGTGTGCCCTGGCCCTCGCGTCCCTCTGTGAAACCACCTTCCTTCTGCTCTCCTTTGGGGCAAAGTGCTGACCCCTTCCTGCATGGCCATCGCAAAGAGAGAGTGCCCTGGCCTCCTAACAGAACCAGAAGCCACCTATGGGCCAGCTGTCCTCTTCTTGGCCTAAGTGAACTTTAAACAAGTTCAGCCACTGTTTAATAAGCTGTACAGGAGTGCTCAGCCCACAGCATCTGAGAAAAGTGATCATTGAGAATCTTTGAAAGTAACGTGGCAAAAAGCAGCCACTGGTCGAGTGGTGACACATGCGTGTAATCTCAGCACTGGGGAGGCTGAGACAGGAGGACTGCAAGTTTTAGGTCATTCTAGGCTATGTAGCAAGACCTTGTTTCAAAATACAAATGAAAGAACAGAAAAACAGCAGCAACGGCTATGAGGGGAACCGAAAAGTAATTATTAGGACAACCTGAGGTCATTCAAGTTTGGGGCAAATCCCATTCTCAGTGCCACTCATATACCCTGGGGCCAGCAATTCCACTCCCAGTATGAACAAGCAGGCCCACACATGTGGCCCCCAAAAACCCAGGATACTATAGGCAGCTTTGAGCTAATAGCTCAAACTGGAAACCCAACAGAACAATACACAGCACGCATCCCGATAGTGGGCAATTCTGAGGGCACCTCTGTACCGGGTGTGAGTGTGTGTGTGTGTGTGTGGTTCTGGCCTGAAGGAGGGACAGTAACTCTGGGATATACAGAGGAGACTCCTGTGGCCAGAAATTTGTTTCCTGACCTTGTCTTGGTTATAGAGTCACTTGATGAAAATTCACTGTGCACATTTTTGTATGTGGTATTAATAAAACATTCACTTAATATAGTCAAGTCTCTGCCTAGCAGTTTTTTGCATTTTTGATGTGAAGGTGATATGTATTCAGTAAAAGCTTGGCATGGTGGCATGTGCCTGTAAACCCAGCACTCAGAGGCTGAGGAGGAAGGAGGATTGTTGTGAATTTGAAGCCAGCCTCAAGACACTCTCTCCTAAAACAAATAAGTAGAAACCATACTTTGAATGTTAGATCTTTTCCATGACTGGTGGTGTGTAGCAGAGTCCTTTCCCAGGATGCCAGGCAGGGACACCGAGCAGCAGCTCCCACTCAGTCAAAGTCAAAGAAAGACCGCCCGACTTCTTTGGAGCACTGTGCTACTCGGACAGGTTTGGTAGATGAGTGCGTTTTTGTCTGTCCCTATTTGTAACCTACAATGCGTTTCTCTGGATGGAATCCTGTCTGAAGTCAAGCATGTGTATAGAATTTTTAGACACATTTCCCCTTTGACATTTAGATGTTTTCCAGTGACCTGAAACCCCAACTCTCAGTCAGCAGCGTGACCCAGTGTCATGATTCTCCCGTAACACTATTTTCTATAAAAAAGAATGCTGCCACTTTGCACTTTTAGTGCATTTCATCAGGGTGACCTCAGAGTAATCTCATCACTGTCCCTCCTGGGGGTAGGACTGGTGGGGCCTGATCCATAGCTCCTGCCGCACTCCTCCCTAGCAGCTGCTGTAGGCCTGGTCCCAGACCAAACACACCAGACTGGTGATGATCCAGGCTGAACTCAAGGTTGCATGGGGGTCATCAGAAGAGGGCAACTGAGCTGGGCATGGTGGCGTACTCTTGTAATCCTAGTACTTGGGAAGCTGAGGCAGGCAGATCGTTGCAAGTTCGAGACCAGCCTGGGCTACAAAGTGAGCCCAAGGCCAACCTGAACCGCATTTTGTCTCAAAAAGACAAAAAAAAAACAAAAACAGGAAATGGCTACCTATAAGATGACACATGTGGAGTGAGGCAAGGTGGCACAAGCTTGTAATCCTTGCAGCATTTGGAAGGCTGAGGAAGGAGGATTGAGACTTCACTGGCAGCCTGGGCTACACTGAGTTCAAGGCCAGCATGGATTACAGAGTGCGACACTATCATAAACATACATGATAGGCAGTGGCATCCTTGAACTGGAAGCAAAGCATAGGTAGCTGACTATGGCCACAAAAAACCAGGACAAAAATCCAAAATCCTTGTGTAGATGTCTGCTGAAGACTACTTACTTGCTGTCTATTCTACTTCTTCCTAACCTCAGAGCCATGTGCCTGGAGGCGGGGCCAGCGGATCCCAGCATAGAGGGCAGTCCCCCCCAGTTCAGACTCTCCAGCGCTGATTGTCCCCTAGGCTGCAGGCACATTCAAGGAGGAGCCAGACTCCAAGTCCATCCAGGGTGAGGAGGGCTGCACTGTAGGGGCAGGTAGTATGACTGAGAGGCACGGTGAGAACAGCCTGAAAGCTGGCCCTGGATAGCTGCTCAGGGAGCAGAGCATACCCCTCTCTCAGCAGGCAGGAGCAGCTGTTCACCATGAAGACAGCCCTAACTGACAGCTGTCCTGGGGGCTGACCACTCGCCCAGTCCCCTGTGGTTCATCCCTCTGATTTGGGCCAAGCCTTTCTTCTCAAATGGGGACACTGAAGCCCAGATAGGGGAAAACTACTTGCAATGAGTCACTAGGCTCTTTTCTGAATCAACGTGCCTTCGGTTCTGGTAAACACATGTTTTGAAATACAGCTTTATGAGAACTCATCTTTAACTGCTTATTAAAAGGCTGACTCCTGGAACTCAAGGGCATGTGACCTACGATCAGCTCTGCAGCTTCAGTCCCTACAGCCAGTCCTCTGAGCTACTGGGGGAAGCAGGTCAGCTGAGATGGTGACATTGATCCGTCAGGGGAGCTCTACAGGTAAGGGTTCGGGAGCATTCTATCAGCAAGCTGGGTGGCAACCCAGTAATGGGCATCTAGTGGTCCATCTAAGAAGCTTCAGTACACTGGAATTAAAAACCACCATGTGCAATCAGTGGTAGCTGGATGTCAAACTACATTCGGAAATTTTTTAAAAATGACATTGAGCAGCTTTGCTGGCTCTCATGGACCCCAGTGTCTGGCCTGAAGCATGTTTCCTTGCATCAGTTGACACAAACATTTTCGAGAGGAGCTAATCCACTTGGGTATAAGAACTGGAGGCTGCCATGGTCCCTCACATACCTCCTTGCTGGGAGGGCTGCTGTCTTTTAAGCTTCAGCCAGGGCTTGTGCTTCCAAACCACCACACTGAGTCATGTTCTTAAATGGAATAGCATTCTATTTTATATGATCTGTACCTGGCTGTCCAGTAGGGTGGCCACTAGCCATAAATGGACAAAATGGAGCACTCAACTGTTCTTGTGCCAGGGCTGCTGTAACATCACCACTGATAAACACTAGCTTCATCTAACACAAGGCATAGCCCACCCCCCTCCCCGCCACACGGATCATTAGATCCTCTGCTTCTTGCTGCTATGCAAGAGGCTACTCAGACTAAGGAGGCTATTTTTTAAGAATGGCCTTTTTGCCTGCTCCTCTATTCTCTGCTCTGGAACAGTCCTGATTCTTCTGTCACTTTGGAAGGTGACCTGCTTGCCTCCCATAACCGTGTTCCTAGGACTCCTGATTCGAGTTGGCGGCAGGGGAATGAGTGTTTGACAGTAAGGTCAGCAGAGGATGTACCTAGTTATAGAGCAGAAATTTTTCCCTTTTGGTAGTTTATATGGGATACTGAAGTTTACTTGAAAACATAGATTGTGATAGAAATGGAATATAATCACAAGTACCCTGTATAATATTTAATTTTGCTGTCATGGGGATTAAGCCCAGGACCTTC